TTTTTTTTTGTTCAAAATTTTTTCCAGTTCAACGGAGTTCTTCTTCATGACAATGGAGAGAAGAATTCGGAAAATTTGCGACATCAGCTTCTGCTATCTGCGTAAGCGGCGTAGTGGCAAGTGGCGCACTATCATGCACGCATGGCCACTGGCTCATCCCAGATCGATATCCGCCCAGGCCAGTGAGACCTCCCATCTCTCCAGGCCATTTAATTGGCTTCAGATCCGTGTGGGAGGATGAAAGTAATGACTTGTTCAAGACTGGCAACCACATTTCATTGTATAAGCCACATCGTACACATTCAACACGTTCACTACGGTCCTCAATGGAGGTCTGAGCGAGACGCATACTCCGAACGGGGTCGATTAATGCCCAAGACCTTATCTTTTATCCTTTTAATGTCTTAAACCTTGTCAAAGTACTCATACAGATGAAGCAGATCAATCAAAGATTAATTCTGATCAAGCCATATCTGCCGTAGGGTGTATACCCGGCTTCCGTTTGTTTCGGAAATGAAAAATACCAGGGACCTTCGCTGTCTAGGTTATGGTTTCAGTACATAGTGAATCACGGAAACGATTTAACCGATTTAAGTCTTCGTCCAAGACTAGGCGTGCTTTTCTGATATTTTAGGAATTTTCAAGACTTTCGTATCACAAACTGCAACGAAAACACCACTTAGTAACAATAAAGGTCAGATTTGGGTGTAGGAAGGTGTGGTGCAGGGAGGTGTGCCTCTGAAGTTCCAACTAAGGTAGCGCGTGGTAATTCGGCTGGCCCTGAAACTGCCACGTGAGTCCGTCAACAAAAACTGTTCGCATTCATGGTACAGTTAAGTTCAGGAATTAAAGCTTCATTTCATAGATTCTTTACGATCACTGGTTGCCTCGAAGTAACCATTTTGTAGGCAGACAAACATTGAGCACAGAAATATCCTGCATAGAGCTATGATTTTCCTATAGGAATTACTTGATCACAACAATTTGTACAAAAAATCGATTCTAGTATCGATTGGTTCCACTATTCAATCGTAGAGCACGTATATTTCGGCTATATATCCGTCGCTGAATGAATATAACAATGATGGATGAGATCTGAAAATGAATAAATCTCCAAATTTCTCAGAAAAAATATTTTGGCTTTACGGTAGCAGCTACCGTACCTGTAATACGGTGGCAACACAAAGTAATACAGTTTGACCGATGAAAAGTTGGTCGCATCGGTCCTTATTGGCTACATCGCTCCGTCGGAGTGGGCTAGGACCGAGTCGTTCCGAGTCATCCGATGATAAGATAAATATCTGAAATTGTGCACATTCCATTTCAATCCCAAACGATGTTTATAAAAATAATAAAAAAATTGAGTGATTCAAATAACATTGATTTAATATTGATTGGATTTTGGAATAAAATTATTCTGTGAAGTTACCCGTTTCGATTCAACATCTACGGTAATATCGTTGGCATTTCGACGGTTGCTTCGTGCTTTTCTGTTGACAGCATGATAGACACCTGACACTGGCGGTGAAGGTAACGGTTCCATTGCTTCCCCGGCTGGCAGATCGTAGACTGAGGACAAGGTTTCCGTACGGTAACCTCGCATCTGTTTTGATCGCACGGCATCTGTAGATATTAAATTTACCATAAGAAATACAGGGTAGCATGTACGAATTGTTGATACAACATTATAATAAAATAAGATAAACTAGAAAGAAAAATAGTTGGTGGTCGATCGTTTTGAAAAAATAAAGGAAATGTAATTTGTAACTAAGTTATAGGACGAATAAAGACAAAGTGGTCCCTGAATATGAGAAAATACAAATCCTCTGGGTACAGGATTGCTTAAAATAATTCGGGTTTTCCTGTAAAATTTTCAAATGCATATGATCCATTACACCCTAAAAATATCTCGAAGATACTAATGAGAATCTAGGGACTGTTAGCTAGTTGTCTTGTCTCGTCTCATGCTTTTGTTAGTTGTCGCGGTGAGGCATACCGTTCGAATCTCCCGACCGTAACTCAACAGTTCTTTTTGAGAACAAAAAAGCCTATATATAACAGGACTTCCCTATCTAATAGTAAATAGTGGGCTATACGTTTATTTAACTTTGAGTCATGTATTGAATCCAGTTTTTATTGATTCGAGCTCTCAATGACCAGCTTATTTGATTATCTATCTGGTTTCTAATTTGTGTATTTACTTGTTTATTTGTTTATCAAGTTACTCATTCATACCTCCAATTCTGTTACTGATCTCAATGCCAAATTCTTTGTAGTTCAGTGAAGACGCATATGTCTCTGTCTCTGCAGAAGGGCCAGTCGAAGGTGCAGAAGGCAACCTCCCTTGATCAGCATTCGCTTTCGACTAAAAGAAGAAGTCAGGTGAGCAAGTTTTTTTTTATGACTGCATTGAAACTGATCCCGCCCACTAATGGACGTGTCAGTGCGGCAAGGTAGGTTGTTAGAACCAATAAACAAAATAGTTGTTGCCATTCACTGTCAGTTATTCGAAGCGATTAAAACTAAGACA